GATGTTATGGTCTCAGTCCTGATGTTGCAGTCTGGTCTCAGTCCTGATGTTGCAGTCTGGTCTCAGTCCAGATGTTGCAGTCTGGTCTCAGTCCAGATGTTATGGTCTCAGTCCTGATGTTGCAGTCTGGTCTCAGTCCAGATGTTGCAGTCTGGTCTCAGTCCTGATGTTGCACTCCGGGCCTCTGACCCCGTGTGACCCGGTTTCGCTGCAGACACGCCGGGTACCTGTACAACCAGTCGATGTGGTCTGGGATCTGCTTGAAGCCGGAGTCGGTGGTGGAGTGGAACGTGGTTCTGTTCAGCATGATGGCGATCTGCAGCGCAGCGCAGGCCGTCCTCTGCGGGCTGAACATCCTGAACTCCCTGGTGGGGTTGGTTGTGGGCCAGGGGATCCGGCCATGACCAGGTGAGTGGGTGTGGCCAGAGCTGAAGGCGACACCATCTTGGATTTCTGAGCGGAGAGGCCTGTCATTCCTTACCTGTAACTTCACCTTCCTGTGTTTTTAGTTTCAGGTCTCTCCAGATTCAGAATGAGGAAGTCAGGGTCTTCACAGCAAACATCAGACCCTTCAAAATAAAAGCACAGATGCACTTTACCTGACCAATAGCTCTTATGTCATCAGTTTTACTCTGTGGTGGTTCCAGAGAGTAAAACTGATTTATGTCTATGATAAATGTAACATAAGTTAGATTTACTGATTTCATCAGCAGCCTGAAGATCAGAACGATTCAGATTTATGAAGGTTTTATTTATTCCTGTATTTAATAAAGCAATAAAGTCAAAGACTCTGAATAACTACAACTCAAAAGAAAAATGACAGTTTGGAAAAGTTTTTGTGAGTTTTCTTTCTTTTATCCATTTATATATATATATAAGTCCTGTCATAATAAGCAATAAATCAATAAATCACATGATAAATAAAAATGAATTCCATGATTTCCATTTGCATGATTTATCATTTTTCTCTTTTCTTTCTTTCATTCCTTCTTTCTACTAAAAACAGGATGACAGACGTCTTCAGTCTGATGCTTTGGTCTCAACTAACTATTTCTTCAAGGATAATTTTGTTTACAGAGGCTCCATAATTCATTTGACTTGTTTCTATTATTTTGTTTATTTATTTGGATATTCCAGTGTTAAATATTCATTAGAATTTGGAGTTTATTCATCTTTCAGAATGTGGTCTTGCTTTATTATCATGCCATTGCCAGTATATTACTCGAAAATGGTTTTGAAACAATAGTTTATCACAATAACTTTTACGATAATTTATTGTCCAGCAAAATTTGTTGCCACAACAGGCCTAATATGCCAAAAGTATTTGACCACAGGAACAATACAAGATGTGTCAGATGCTTTTATGTCACATTATAGTAACATTATTTCAGCAGGATGTTGGGAGCAACAATGGGATTTTGTCATGCAGATGCAGCAGCCAATCAGAAAGCTAATGGATAACAGGAAATTACATCTCATCAAAGTTTAAAATAACCTCTACAGACTAATTAAGGAACAGCTGGCAGATTTGACTCTGGTTTTAGTGAATAACTTATTTAACTTGCAGTAAATCCACACAGTGGGCTGAAAGAGGTTTCAGTCTGGACCACAACTGGACACACTATGTAGCCCATATTAAAATATATGTCATAAAAACTGATAACTGTTACAAAATCATACATTTCAAATTAAAGTTTAAAACTCATACAATCTAACTGTTAAAAGCTTAAAGGAATTGTTAAAAAATAATATAAAATGTAAAAATCCTAGAGAGGTTAACAGCCAATAGAATAAGTGGCTTTAGCTAATTTCAGCCAATCAGATTGATTGTCCCGCCCTTAGTTGGGTTTTCCCTGCGTTAGCTAGTCAGGTTGATGAGACCAGCTTGCTAACCTCTGGTAAGGTTCCGACTAAATTAATGAAACTAACTTTAATTATTCAAAACTATATGATATTGTGTTTTTTTGTGCTAAAAGCTTGCGGTAAACCTTGTGTGAAGACTGGGTAGCTGGTGAAACAGCCGAGCAGAGGACTGACGATAGTTTCCCTACCTTTCCTCAGTGTGTTTTTACTGGTGAGTTCACATCGACCTCGCGGGTCTGTTAGCCGCTATGCTAGCTTTTACTATTGTAAACTTCATTGACATGTGCTTAAAATTGCCAACATGTAGTTTGTTAGCTACATGGCTAACAAACTACTTATGCACTGCTATTTGTTACCTTAAAATGCATAATTTTCTGTTAAGGTATGTATTGTGTTTTATTACCATAAATGTATATATATGTCTTTTGCATTAGAGTGCAAAAAATGAGAATAATGCTGCGTTTGGGACAAAAATTGGTGTAAAAGTCTTGTTTGCCAGGGGCCAGAATGAGCGACATCAAATCCACCTGCAACTATGGCTAAGGTAAAGTGTTCACTCAGTAAGATCATTATTCACACTGCAGATAATGAGGCCTGGTTATCCAAATCAGAGATCACTAAAATTAGTGGTGATTTGGTTCGTACATTTTCCAAAACAAAATTAAATTCCATAAATTCCAGCCCACTTTCGATAGAGATGCGCTTCTTTCTAGGAATGTGGGCTCATTTATTTGACCTCCAAAACCGTGAGAACCAGCGTGGATTCCAGGAAGCAGCATTGAGCTTCTGCACTGTTATCCTCCAGTTATCCCATTGCGATGCCTATAACCAAAAATTAAATAGGTTAACAACTAATATAAAAGGGATCAATTATGAAAATCCCATTTAAAATAATAAATAATTTAAAAATAATACCCCAGCAGACAGAAATATAAAACAATTAAATAAGGTAAATTAAACATAAGATCTCTCTATTTAAATTATGTTCCGTGTTTCTGTATGTTTATTTTTGAGTTTTCTGTGTTCAGTCCTGTTTTCCTGTGAGTCTCTGTCCTGTCCTCCCCGTTGATTGCTTCCCAGCTGTATCCAGTTCCCTTGATTACCCCGTCTGTATTTATACCCACCTGTTGTCTGTGTTCCTCGTCGGGTCCTTGTCGTTCGTTATAAGTCAGTCAAGTATGTCGTTTTTGTAGCCTCGTTTAAGTCGTCGCAGTAGTACTGGAAAGTCCTGTGACGGCATGGCTCTTATTTTGTCAGTCTTTGTTTAATTGCTGCCGGTGCTGAGTTTTTGTCCCCACTCTGCCGTGTTGCATGTTCTTGGACTGTTTAGAGCTATATTTGATTATTAAAACGTCAACTTCACTACATCCTGGGTCCTGCGTTCGATCTCACCACCACCAACCAACACACGTCTTGACATAAATACTTAGTGATTTGTCAAAATTCGACTGATTTGTTATACATTTGAATAAATAAGTCAGCATCTTTTAATTTTTTTTAAAAATATTCCTCAGATTAGTGGGGCAGGAGAAGTAAACGTCTAAACTGTGAAGCACTAAAACTGCTTTTGCTTTGTATCCCCCACCAGGCCATTACTCTCAATTCTTAGAGCAGATGTCAGATTTTTAAAAATCTGATTTAGTATTAAATACTGAAAAAGTTATTATTGTGGGGGATTTTAGATGCAACTTGCAGATGTTTCTCTGCTTCAGCACACCTGGCTTCAATATCAGCTCTTTAACAGAGCTCTGTACAGCTTGACTGCATGCTAGTGAGGCAGTTTAGCCATTTCATTCAAGAATGTAGGCCAAGGGACACATCTAAATATTTTTTATTGGCGTTTTAGGAGTATCGGAGTCAAATATGTGTATCTGTGGGTGTGGTCACTAGATGGGGCTGTGGCCTCCAGTATATGAGCCAAGGGGTGACACATAGCAGACTGGTGTTGAAACTGGAAGGGCTTACATGTTTTTGGCCGCTGTGGCGGAGTCATTATTAACACTGTTACCGTCTACCTCTGAGTTACTGGATTTGTGATTGCGTTTGAATAGAATGAATTCAGAATTTGCACTTCAGAGAAGATCCTTGGGATTGATTTTACACGGTACAACAGGTGCAACGTTAGCCGCTCGGTGCGTCATATCAAAGCAGTAACGGATCAACACTTAACTAGTGCAGTATTAATACATGTATTTTGATGTCTGACCAGAGGTAACATCGTTCCAGTTAATAAGCTTGGATTTCAACATGACCTCACCCATAGACATTGTTCATAGCACCTCTTACAAACATCATTTTAAGCTTTACTTTCCAGAAATAAACATCCCTTTTAAGTGGTTCAGCCTAGAGTTGCAGGCAATA